AAAAAAAAATTCTTTACTTTACTTTAATGTATAAAAAAATCATTTATTTCATTTTTGATTAAAGCTACTTCCGTGACATCTGTTTCATCACGTCAGGCGGCTAAACGTAGTACGGCTAATAACAGCGCGGTGAGGTCGAAAAGGTTACGTATACAATTGATGGATACCCGTGATTTCACCGAGATCGATTCCGCATTGGAGCGGGGGGCCGTTTGGTTTTATCGGAAGAATGTGGAAAATTTCGCGAGCTATCGAGATTTTCTACGCGCCGTTAAACCCGAGCTGGTCGCCAGACTCGCTGAAATCGTAGGTAATCGCCCGATCAAGTATAATCTCAAATTGGTGGCCTCATACCATATACCGCGATCAGAAGCACCAACCGAGGACCGTGCCTTCAAAAAACGGGCTAAGGCATTGCTATCCAATACGAATATCGGGTGTGCGGTCGATGAAGATTTTGAGGTTATGCTCTCCGAGGAAGACGTGTACTCTGGGAGGGGTAGCGGCTTTACTTTATCGCATATCGACGGCATTATGCTCAGCGTATACAAGTATACGCCCCTCGCCGGCTCATCGTATATTCCGATTTCGCTCGAAATTAATAATAGAAAAGCAATCATCAACCCCCAGAATATCGATCAGTCTTGTTTCAAGTGGTCTATTTTGGCGAGACACGTCAAGGGAGACCACAAATATCGCGTTGATCGAAAATATTTTAACGAGAAACACAGGTATGATTTCACAGGGTTGACGTTCCCCACACTTGTGTCCCAAATTAAAATATTTGAACGACAAAACCCTAACGTGTCTGTCAACGTGTACGGCTTGGAACGAGACGACGTTAAGATGAAGTGGTTTGTGTATCCTCTAAGAGTTGCCGACCAAGAACAACAGAATCATTTTGACTTATTGTATATTGGCGACTCTGAAAAATCACATTACGCGTACATTTAAGATTTTTCTAAGCTTGTTCGTAAACAAAAAACCAGACACCAAAGTCGCATATACACTCGCAAACGTTGCTTCACCTGCTTTAATGATTGGCCTAAAAAGCATATTCTTTGGGGTCAACAAGCGTTGGAGCAACACAAGTTGATATTCGGCAAAAATAAACCAATTTTACCTGTTATGCCGGCAGAGGGCAGCAAGGTTGAATTTGAAGCGTGGGTAAAGACGCAACGGTTACCGTTCGTCATCTACGCCGATTTTGAGGCCTTACTGGAGAAAACAGACGATCGTATGGGTGCATACACCAGGACTGTGCACACCCACCATCCCATGAGCTATGGGTTCATGGTGAAAACATCGGACGATGTACCCTCCGAGCTCCTCGAACGCTACGGTATACCACAATCACCGGTTATATACCGTGGGTCTGAGGATCGCGAAGAGGTCGCTAAGGCATTTGTGATGGCTGTAACTAAAGTGACGCGCAAAATTTCTAAATTGTTGCGCAAAACCAACGTTCCTATCCGAATGTCTGCCGATGATGTGCGCAGGCACGGGGAGAAAGTGGTATGCGAGGATTCCAACCCTAAAGTCACAGACCACTACCATTTATCGGGGCCATTCAGACAGACGTTGTGCAATGCATGTAACCTAAAAGGGAAGACGGTCAACTTTGTGCCGTGCTCCTTGCACAATCTATCAGATTACGACGCGCATTTCATCGTCACTGAATTAGGGTACGACGATCAAAGGATTTCGGTCATACCGAATTCCGAGAAGAAGTATATTTCAGTCACGAAATACGTGACCAATTACTTTTCCATACGGTTCGTCGACACCTTCCGGTTCATGGCTTCCTCCCTGTCCACCTTGGCCGGAAACCTAATGACTCCTGATTTCGTTAAATTTCGGGAGACGGACAAAGTGTTCCGCCCGGAAGACATGCCGTTGGTGACGCGTAAGGGCGTATACCCCTACGAGTACACTGATAGTTGGATTAAATTAGACGAAACGGAACTACCGCCTCAAGACGCTTTCTATAGTCAGTTAAGTGAGTCGAATATCGATGATGATGACTATAGACATGCCACGGAGGTGTGGAACCGTTTCGGCTGCTCAACCCTCGGTGAGTACAGCGACCTATACCTTAAGATCGACGTGTTGTTGTTAGCTGATGTGTTTGAGAACTTCCGCGACATCTGTATTTCAACATACAATTTGGACCCGGCGCACTATTACACCGCGCCTGGTTTTAGCTTCGATTGTATGTTGAAATACACCAGGATGAAGCTGGAGCTCTTGAACGACTACGACATGCTACTGATGGTGGAACAGGGCATTCATAATGGGTTAGTGCAGGCTGTCAAGCACTATGCAAAGGCCATCAATCCTAAGACACCCGATTACGATCCGTCAAAACCAGACTCATGGATCGTGTATCAAGACTGTAAGTAATCTATACGTATATATAAACGCGCAATAATTGAGCGGTGGTTTAAAAACGTTTAATGTATACAGGCAATAACCTTTACGGGTGGGCTATGAGTCAGCCCATGCCGTACGGTGGCTTCCGGTGGTATAAAGGAGCAGACCCTCTGGCTGACCTCCAATCGTTGTCGGACACTGGTAATACGGGGCGTATATATGAAGTGGACGTATCGTATCCACAAGAGCTGCATGACGAGCACAACGACTTGCCGTTCTTGCCTGTCAACGATGTACCGCCGGGTTCCAAAGAGNCGCAACGATGTACCACCGGGTTCCAAAGAGACCAAACTCATGGCCACTTTGAAACCAAAACAGCGGTACGTCGTACACTATGTCAACTTAAAACAGGCAATCGCACTTGGACTGCAAGTCGATAAAGTATGTGTAATTAACCTAAAAACTATAAGCGATGATACTAATATAAATATTTATACTGCAGGGCACCGCGTTTTAGAGTTTCAACAAAGTGCTTGGTTGAAACCATACATTGAGTTGAACACTGAAATGCGGAAAGAGGCGGCAAATGCTTTTGAAATAGCATTATTCAAACTAATGAATAATGCCGTCTTTGGTAAGTGCATGCTCAATACTAAAGCAGTTGTGGGTTATTCGATAAATTTTTACATTTTATAGGAAAAACCATGGAGAACATGCGGAAGCGTACCCATATTGAGCTAATCTCCAGTTCCAAACGTCTAAGCAAGCTCGTAAACCAACCAACCTTCAACGACTGTATCAAATACGGTGAAAGGTTGTGCGCTGTCATAATGGACACAAAGATTGTCAAGTTTATCAAACCAATATACGTCGGTTTAGCAGTGCTTGACATTAGCAAGACGCTAATGTACAAGTACTTCTACGACGTATTGAAACCACATTATGGCAACGCAATCGAATTGGTTTACATGGATACTGGTGAGTACAACCGTACAGTAGAAATATTTTTTATATTTATATATTTTTAATTTTTCTCAGACTCCTTCATATACCTGCTCAGAGTAGGCGACTTCTACCAGGATTTAGCTGGTAGCCCCGATTTACTGGTGCACGTGGACGCATCTAGCCTGCCCAAGGATCACCCTTGCNACACGTGGACGCATCAAGCCTGCCTAAGGATCACCCTTGCTACTCCAACGATAGAAATAAGATGCCCGGCTTGTTTTCAGACGAGACCGGTAGCCTCGCCCTCTTTGAGATCGCTGCACTTCGATCAAAGTGCTACGCATATGACATGGAAGGCAGCGAACTCATAAAGTCTAAGGGGATCCACGGGCACGTCGTCCGGAACCATCTGTCTTTGAATAATTACAAACAATGTTTGTTCGAAGACGATGGCGATGGCGACGATGTGTCAAAACGAGCATTGGCTGGAGAGAATGCCCGTGTGGTCATCGGAGCTGTACGCGATGGTGAGACTCCACCGACATTATCGCTGCCATACACTCCGTACCGACAGAACGTGTCAATCCGAGCACGAAGTACGCACTTTACGTACAACCAAGTTAGCGCTTAATCGTTTCGACGATAAGCGCTATACGCTCGAAAACAGAATCGACACGTTGGCTCACGGGCATTATGCTATACCACCACCACCACCACCACAGGGAGGTTAATACAAATATAGTAGTATTTAAGTGATTCTCGTTGGAAAAAAAATATTGTTAAAATTAAATATTGAAAACATACTTTGTAAAAATATGTGTACCAGTATAAATNACATACTTTGTAAAAATATGTGTACCAGTATAAATAGTTTTAAGATTTTTTTTTGTTAAATAATTGTAAATAAATGTTAGTAATACACATGTAATCGTATATAGATTTAAAATGTAACATAATATAAAAAAAACGGTAGCACAGTGGGGTCGAGGCACAGTGTGGACGAGGCATAGATGGGACAAGTATAGATGATATCTGACAGTGATTAAAATCACTATCATAAGAAACGCTTCGATGCAAATCTGTAGATAGTGTTTCCTTTAGAGAAATTGGTGAAATATTTTAAAAGCAACATGAACTCTTATTTCTTTAATTATATCCTGATTAGTAGTTCTTTGATTTTAAAATATAATATATGAATAAATACTAATTATAGTTTTTAAATTTAGTATGAAATTGTGAGGCCAGCTATGATGTATGGTTCATAGTGTTGGGCGGTTGATAAGAAAGTAGAGCAGAGAATAAGTGTAGCAGAGATGAGAATGCTTAGTTGGATGAGTGGAGTGACTAGAGAAGATAGGATAAGGAACGAGCATATAAGAGGAAGTATAGGTGTTGCGTCAATCGTGGATAAGATGACAGAAAATAGACTTAGATTGTTTAGTCATGGTATGAGGAAAGAAGAATCGAAAGCTGTAAGAACAGTTATAGAAATGAATGTTGAAGGAAGAAGAGATAGAGGAAGACCAAAAAAGAGATGGAGGGATGCTATTGAATGCGATTTGAGGACAGCTGATGTGAGCGTAGAAGATGTGGGAGATCGTGTCAAGTGGAAGCTTAGGATAAGGGTGGCCGACCCCAAGTAGTTGGGATTAAGGCAAAGAAAAAGAAAAATATTACCAGATATTCCGGTGGCAATTGACATAATATGATTGTTATTTCGGAATGTACAATTTAGCGTTTAGTTGGGTTTAAATAATATAGCGTCAAATCAATTACCTACTCTATCGGTTGTATCTCAATATACACTACACTTTAATGATACAATAAATAAATAAACTCACACATACACACATATGCATTTATAACATTGTGTCTAATGTAAGTATAACATGATAAAAAGTAACCGTAAAATGAAAAAAATGGAATATAAATTTTATTACTCATATTAAATGTAATGTAACTCGAAAAATATTTGTTTAAATGAAAAAATATAAGATTATATTTTTATTTATAATTGTCTTTTAAACAACTTTTGTGCGAAACTTTTTTTTGTAAGTTAAATATTTTTTTTTGAGAAAATTAAGAAAGCTCATATTTTTGAACTTTTGCGAGGATTTAAAAAAAAAGCTCAATTCCAATCTTGAGGACTATTAGTATGTCATTATACATATTTTAATTCAACTTTTAAAAAAACAAAATTTTTTCCGCAATTTTTCCTTTGTTGACAGGCCTAGATGTCAATTTTAAACTTGTAATTGAGCTAAAAGTTATGGTAATATATTCAATTTATTTTACTATAAACTTTCATAAATCTTTATCAAAAATTTTTCATCAACTTTAAAGAACCAAAAAAATAGGTTAAAATTGAAAATTTGGACTGATTATTTTTAACATATTAAAAATCAAATCAGTAATAATTTGAAAACAAATTTTTTTTTCTTTTAATTATTATTTTATATATATAATTAGTAATAATATAAAAAATTAGAAGTGATAGAAATAGTCTACTTGCAGATTTGAAAACAACGCGAAAATTTGATTTAGAAAAGTATATTTTTGCTTCTGATGAAAGTTCCTTGTAGTCCAGTGCATTTTTTTATAGTAACAAACAGTTTTTATTGAAAATTATTGTATCAAGCCCTTTAAATTTTTATACACGTAAAAGTAAAGCAAAATATAACTTCTTTATTATTTTTATAATTTCTCCGTTTAAATTACAATATTAAATATCAATTTCATACTAAATTTAATAATTATAATTAGTATATATTCAAATATTATATTTTAAAATCAAAGAACTACTAATCATGATATAATTAAAGAAATAAGAGTTGATGTTGCTTTTGGAATAATCCACCAATTGCCTAATTAAAACAAAAAAAAAAAAAGTTTGTTGGGAATTTTTTCTGCTATTCTGCAAAATTACTCCTTCGTTGACTAGAATGAATCATTAAATAGAAAATTTTATGAGAATTAAAACAATGTTATTTTTAAGATTAATATGCAGTCAGAAAGTTTTATAATTATTATTTATTGTAAATTTATCAGAAAAACTCATTATTTTTTGCATTTTTATCGTAATAGAACACTTAAATAGAAATCATAGTAATCATTTCTAAGTAATTTTTGATATTTAAAAAGATTCTACTATTGAAATATCCAGAACTGAATTAATTTTAATGATTTACTTTAACTAAAAAAAAAAAAGTTAATATTTTGAATCCCTCTTGTGGGCAGGTAAAGGGTTAGATTTATAAAAAAAACCAAATGATAGATAAAGACATGCATCTAAATAAAAAAAAATATACTGATTTGGTCATTTTTGATAAAGTTATAACAATTAACAAAGTTATAAGTTTTATACACTGGACTACAAGGAACTTCCATCAGAAACAAAAATATACTATTCTAAATCAACTTTTCGCGATGTTTTAAAATGTGCAATTAGACTTTTTCTATAACTTCTAAGTTTTAATATTATTAAAAAATAGTTTTTACATATAAAAAAAAATAATTAAGAACAAAAAAAATTGTTTTAAATTAATACTGATTTGATATAATATTTAATATTAATTTGATTATTAATAAGTTAAAAATAAGGAAAATGACATATTTAACCTATTTTGTTAATCGTTTAAAGTTGATTGTTGTAAATGTTTATAATAAAAAAAAAAAATTTATTTTACCATAACTTTTAGCTCAATTGGTAAGTTTGACATTGACATAATTAAATAGAAAATTTTATGACAATTAAAAAAATTGTATCGTTAAGATCAATATGCAGTCAGAAAGTTTTATAATTACTATTTATTGTAAATTTATCAGAAAAGCTCAATATTTTTTTGCATTTTTATGGTAATAGATAACTTAAATAGAAGTAATAGTAATAATTTCCTAGGAACTTTTGTTGTTTGTTGAAAAGATTCTATAATTGAAATATTGAGAACTTAATTAATTTTAATGATTTACTTTAACTAAATGTACCAATCAAAACAAAGTTGTTAAAAAGATTTACTCAATTGAGTGTATTATAAAATTTGATTATATTTGTAAAAATCAATTGTTAATTCAGGAGAAAAAACAATCATTTTTTTTAGAAATGATTTATATAGCAACATGTTACAAAAAAAAATTGTAATATTATAGTCTAGTAGTAGCACACACAAATAGAGTAAAAAAATTATTAAATTACAAAGTAAAATGATTTAATTTTGTAGTTGAAACCTATCATATCAAACTTCATTCGTTAATAAATATTTTGAAAACATTAGAAATTAATGATTTTAATTGTCTTTATGGAGACGATGTAATAACTAACTGTTTAATTGATAAATTAGAATTTTTTTTTCAATTTTTGAGAGTAATATCTTCAACTAGATACGAATTGTAGTAATTTGACGTATTGTTGAAAAAAGTAGGTCAAGTTAGAGCAGAGAAAATAAATGATAGTCACAAAAAAATATCTTCTCGGCTTTGCATCGAAGCGAAAACTTAAAATATAGTAAAATAATTTTAATACGAATAAGAAATTTCTTCTTGCAAGGGGCGACTAAAGTGATGGGATCCTTGATCTTTATTGAAGTTATTGAATCTAAATGTGATAAAAATCAAACGAGTTAAAATTTATACTAACTTAAAAAGAATTAAGAAAAAATGCAAAAAATTCATTGCCATATGCGGGTTGGAACCTCGTACCCCAAGCGTGTAAAACATAAATTTTACCAACTCGGCAACCGTACGTTGCTTCCGGCGGTTGAAAAATTGGCTATTTAAGCTAGTTCAAATTTCAAAGTTATTTTTCTCGACTTAAAAGAAACAAACATATTTAAATAAGTTTAACTATCTATACTATATCAATTTTAATTTATATAATATTTATGAAAATCTGTACTCCCCTTGTCAGGTATTTTAAAATAAAATAAAATACAAAACCCAGAATTTTAACACAAAAATAGCATATTTTTGCATACGGTAGTCATTTTTACCATGAAGACAAATCCAGAGGTCAAATTTTTTTTTTTCACATTAAAGTATATTACATAAGCTTTAATTTAAGATATATTTAAAAGTGTCAGTATTTCCGGAATACTTTCAAAAATTAAATTGAAAATATCGTAGTAACAATACGCATGTTTAAAGTTTTGACCCCCCTTGTTAAAGGGGTATGATCCGATTTACAAAAAAAGCGTGCCAGATGAAAGGGGTATATCAATATTTATTATAAAAAAATAATAATATAGATCCATACATTTTTCCAAAAGTTATATAAAATATAAATTAAATAATATAACATATAAAATCGAGATTTTTTTCACGGAAATCGTACGTTTTTCTTTAACTTTGATGTCCGTTTTCACCACGAAGACAAGTC